GTGGAAGGAATAAGAGAAAGTATGCGTACTCTATTTTTATCAGTGGTGGAGGTTCCTTTCCAGTTTTAAAAATGGGTTTAGTGTATTAAGATTTTTAATTATGAAAATTTAAAACATGCAAAAAATTAGAAAGTATATTGTAATCCAGCTTCAGCAGTTCTCACCATTCTCTCGCTCTCATTTGATTTTACACACACACACACACACACACACACACACACACACACACACACACACACACACACACTACATTTTCCTGGAGTATTTTAACATAAATCTCAGGTATGATTTCTCTTTACCCCTGCAAATACTTCACCAAATTTCTCTAACAGATGGGAACGTATTTAAGAAAATCAATCTCAATTCCTCATTATTCTTACTCAACAAAATGAACAATAGTTTTTTTAAAGTATTTTGTTTATTGACATATTTAGGCAATAATAATAATAGAACCATTAATCTTTTGGGATGTACATAGTTTGTGGAAGTATTATGTAATTAGTTAAAGGAACAAAAATATTTAATGAACAGTAATTACTTTTATCATTGTTACTCACTTTGTGGATCATAATCCAGATATCTTCTACCTTGCATATGTTTGGTGAGACTCTTTTTAAATTCATAAGCATTCTTTCTCTCCCTTGTGGTATTTATTAGTCAATAAACGGGCCATTTTCCTATGCCATTTTCTACTTTCTGGATTTGGCTTAATTGTATTCTTACCAAATATGCATGTTCCTCTCTTCCCTCTTACCTTCTGCAGCCTAGTTGATAGGTCTAGAAACTTAGCTAGATTTAGGTCTAGATTTTTGTTAGTAGTGCTTCACGACTGGTGGTGTGTGCTACATGGCATCAGATAGCACTTTATACCTACCTTTTACTCTTTTTATTTTATCATTAATAGCACAAGGGGATCACATTGTGAAAATTTCGTAGATGTATACAGTGTCCTTTGAACAAGTTCACCCCTCCGTCGTATTCCCTTGCTATTTTTTTGCTCTTTTAGTGTTAATTGACTCAGAGGGCTCAGGTGTTGTCATCCTGCGTGAGTAACAATAAAGTTCTTCAGAAACATCTTACCTAATTGTTTTAGCATTGATGATCTTTCATTCATTAGGAGCTGCAGAATGGTGGTTATTTTTTCTGTCATTTTTTGCATTTATTAGCTGGAATTCTTTTATGAAGAATAATTTCCTTCATCAACTATTTTGTTAACCCACAATGCAATTTGTACTTGAAAAAGTAGAGACTTTCCTTTCATTATTTCTAAAATAATTAGTTTGGTGCCTTAGAAACTTCCAAAGGTGGCCAAATGATATTTTCAGTTATTATTTGATCTTAGATTGGAAAAAAAAAATACCTAATCCACTACAGACTTTTGTTTTTAATTCTCACATTGTTCTTTCTTTGGTGAGTGAGAACTCTTTGAAGTTGCTCTGGACCCTTAACCCGATCCTGGTAGCCTTCGATAACTTCCTTTTTTATGGTGTGATAGAATGCTCCAAGTTCATCGTACACATTTTGTGCCCTCAACCGCAAATTACCCATTTTTCTTAGGAGCTTGGTGGTAAATGGTATTGAAGACCACAGTCTTCAATATCATTAGTACTGTGCTCCCATTGCTTCTGGGCTTTTGCAGTGGGCAGGTTATTTAAAAAGAGAGCACTATCATGATCTTGCACTCATATTTCAATTTAAATTGAGGATTATGGTACTCAGGGCTGGGGGTAAAGTCAGTGGTAGAGTACATGCTTAACGTGCACAAGACCCCAAGGTTAATCGTTAGCACCAAAAAAGAAAAAATACGACTTCTTAATATGAGAACTTCTTTGGTTTTATATTTTCTTAAATGCGCAAAAGCTTCTTTTTAAAAACAATATTGATATAGCTATTTATTTGTTTAAAACGTTGTTACTGGTATTATAACCAATAGTAAAACCATTCAATACATGGTAAGATTTGTCTGTTGTTCTCTGTGTTTTTAACAGCCTTTCCTATTGAGGATGTATGCTCAAAACACTTCTAAGGTCTGTTGGAGTAATTGTTTTCTCTTTGTGGCTTAACACCAGCTTGATACATAGTCAGGTTCATTTGTTTCAGTTTGTTTTCAATTTTTAAGAATTGATTTTTTCCCTCTTAGTTCTTTTTGAATTTTGACATGTAAAATATTGACATAGTTTGAAAGTCGGCACTACAATGGGGTACAGTCAGTGAAATCTTTCTTCTACTCCTCTCCCCTGATCTCTCCTTTTTGACCCCCAATGGGTATCCAGTCGTTTTTTGACTTGTGCATCATTTCTTATTTTTGCCAGCATGTCATTTGGACAGGTTCCTGGAGCAGGAATGCTGGGTCAAGTGTATATGCATGTATAATTTGGGTGTAGATTTTTACTACCATGTTTTAGTTCTTTGTAACTATTATCATATAAACAGAAATGATAATTTAGTTTTCTCAGCTCTTTAGCTCAAGTTCATTAATAGAAGGTTTTAAAGTTTTCAAGTGAATTGGCCTTTCTGGTTTTGAGGATGATTTTAATTTCTAGTTTTATTGTATTATGATCAGAGGATTATTTGTAATATTTCTAGATTATATATTTTCCAAAATACTTGGACATATTTTGTGACTGTTACTTTTGTTCTTGAGGAGTTATGTTATCTATTATTAGGATGTAGTATTTGATACTATCCCTAAACCTATTTAATGCATTATATGGTGCAAATATTTTATGATCTTACTTACTTTGTCTACCTGACATACCTTGTACTGAGAGTAGTATATTAAAATGTCCCATTATTTGTGCAACTTTATATGGATGGTTTTTGTACTATTGGATTCATAGGTATTCATTACTGTCTTCATTATATATTTATTTTGAAGTATGGCTTTAGCACTACAAGACATTCTTCTTTGTCATATTTAATCGTTTAAAAATTCCACTTTTAAGTCATGATCACTATCCCTGCTTTTGATTGTTTCTGTTGTCACCACTCAAATATAGAATGTCCCCCCCAACCAAAATTTGGCTTGGATGTCAAGAGCAATGATGCCCCTTGTGCATCTGGAAAATATGAGAAGGTCATTACTGACATAATTGGGCTTTCTGGAAAGCAGGGCAGTCCTCACAGTAGTTTTCTTTGCATGTAAATTCGCTATAATGCTGATATTAGTTATCTAATGCTGTGTAACAAAGTGCCAGCATAATAGCTTGAAACAATCAACATTTATTTTTTCTCAGTTTCTGTGGATCAAGAATTTGTGTGTGACATATCTGGACTCCTCTTACCCAGCATCTCTCATGCAGCTCTTGTCATGACTGACTGGAGCTGGGAAAAATATCTGCCTTCAACCTCATTCACCTGGCTGCTGGCTTGCTACAGAAGATCCATCTCTAAGTTCATTCGCACGATTTCTAGCGTGTTTGGTTTCTTACTACATGGATCTCTGTATAGGTTTCCTGAGTATCCTAGCAGTGTGGTAGCTGGAGGTGTGTGTGTGTGTGTGTGTGTGTGTGTGTGTGTGTGTGTGTGTGTGTGTGTGTGTGTCAGAGAGAGAGAGAGAGAGAGAAAGAGAGAGAGAGACAGAGAGAGAGAGAGAGGAAGACAGGAAGAGAGAGAGAGAGACAGCGAGAGGAAGAAAGAGAAAGAGAGAGAGAGAGGGAGAGAGAGAGAGACAGCGAGAGGAAGAAAGAGAAAGAGAGAGAGAGAGGGAGAGAGAGAGAATGTTTTTTTCCTCAGTTTTACTAGGAATCTACTGGAATCTTTTAATCGTGTTTTATTTCTAGACATTTTTCTTGGGTTATATTTTTAAGTAATGTATTTCATTACGTTGTTTTTCTTCATGGTCTCCAATGACAGCATGGTGGACCTTCTTTGCCTTCTGAGAAAAGCATCATTGGGTGACTGTGTTGAGCAAACATCACAGAGTGTACTTACACAGACTGTGATGGCTATAGTGTCTCTAGGCAACATAATCTTATGAGACCACTTTTGTAAATGTGGTCCAGCGTTGACCTAAGCATGTTACATGATGCTTATCCAGTATTGTGTTGGCTACCAGCTTAGAGGCTTTCTACCATAAGTATAAGTAATGTTCATTTTAAAAGTTTTGCATCATTTTCATGGATGTTTTATTGCCTTACTTTAGTGTACCTTATTATATTTTTATTAAATCTATCTTCCTTTATCTCCTTTCTCCCATATTTTGGTCTGGAAATTTTTTACTGTCTTGTGAGCTTTTTAATTACTTCAGAATGTTTTATTTGATATTGTATCAAGAACTTTTAGTTTGGCTTTCTTTTAGTACAATGGTTGAGTAAACTAGCCTGCTATTAACAAATCTCTACTTAGTCATAAATTTATCCCTAAAATTGAAAGTGTTTTGCTAGAAGTCTCAGGCACAATGTGCAAAGGAGAGGGGTTATATTTCTTTGATTTGTAGATATTTGTGCTTTATAACTTATTTAGACATAAACTTCAAAACTTTTCCAGAAACCTCTTCTTCTCCATCTTATCTCACACTACCTTTTTTTTTTCTTTTGAGTCTCTTGCCCAGCTGTGAAGGATGGATGCCTTGTGTTTATTGTGTTTGAAGGGATGATTGTTATCTGAGAGAACGTTCAAATAAACAGATAAAGTAGCAAGCTTTATAGTGTTTATTGGCCAGTGTTTATCTCACTAGAAAGATAAAAGTGACAAAATGTAGGAGCCACTTGTATTTCTGTCTTCCTGAGCAGAGTCTAGAATCTCTTAGTCAGTCTAAAATGGATTCTAGATTTTGGGATAAGGATAAATCTAGTCACATGGAGTAAAAAATTTTAGTTAAGATATGCGTTCTAAGCATTTGATGTATTTTTTGAAGTATTTTGTAAACCTTCCTGTATTTGAAAAAGCTTTAGCATATGGCCATAACACACTGATCTCATCTGAAAAGCCTTTAAAAATTGTGGTCTGTATTCAGGAATGTATTTGTTCTAAATGTTTTTTTTTTTTCATTCTTAGGTAGGCAAAGAAAATAACCAAAAATGACAAGTAAAAGACTTGAGGAGTCCATGGGGGCCGTTCAGATGGGGTTGGTCAAAATGCTGCAAGGATTCCAAAGCAAAGTTTTGCCACCCATGAGTCCAAAGGTGGTTACAGAAGAAGAAGTAAACCGAATGGTAACACATCAGGGAATTTCTATGTAAAATAATTAATGTCAGTTGCTGCCTGGCATTCTTAGAATATCAAACAGAGAAATCCTGACTGATTAATATCAATTCCGTTGTTAGTCTGCTATAGAGCATAAGCATCTTTCAAAGTCTGAGAAGTTTTTAAATTGCATACATATATATTTCAAAGTGCAGGGTTGAATTGCTTAAATTAATTTGTTGGAGTAAGACTATCTTAGTCTATTTTCTGTTCCAATAACAGAATATCAGAAACTGGATGATTTACAAAGAAAAGAGGTTTATTTTAGCTTGTGGCTCTGGAGCCTGGGAAGTCCAAGACTGTAGGTACATTTAGTAAGGGCCTCATGCTACATTTTTACATGCCTGGAGAGTAGAAGAACAAGTGGCCATGTCAGAAGAGAGAAAAAGGGATTCAGACTCCAAGGAAAGCATTAATCTATTCATGAGGGCTCCATATGAATTAAGGGTCCAAAACATGAATTTTAGGGATCATACTCAAATCATAGCACTATATAAACAAACTATTAAAATTTTTTGATTAGTGAGCAGAACCATGTGAAATTGTCATTGTATGGTTCAAAAACAGACAAATGTCAGAACTTCACAGGATTCAACTGAATAATTTATTACTTGGATGTTGGCAAGAGTTATTTTTGTTTATGTATTTACAGAACACAGAGCTTTAAAATAATGACTAAATGGTATCTAGGGAAAATTCATATTCTCCTGTCTTTTAAAATAAAAATATTTGCATCCAAACGATAGCTAATGATTTGTTGAGAACTGAATTATGGCCCACGTGGTAGGGGCAATACTAATAAAAATTCATAGTGCTGAAATAGTATCCACTACGTTTTTAAAGCTAATCTCAACTTGTATTCCAATTAGAAAAATAAAATCAATCATTCTCTTTTGTGGTAGCTATTGGTACATATTTGTAGAAACTCCTGCCTTTTTGCTTTTTGTTCATTGTTTTAATTTAAATCACAATATTGCTGATAGATACCTCTTAACACTCCATTACTCTCATCTGTGTTCCAATCAAAAAGAACTTAAAAAAACAAGTTGAAAGCTGTATTAGAAATGTGTCTTCATTTAAATGGGTTCAATCACAGAAATCATATTTGTTGGAAAAATAAGTATTTTTGATGAGCTTTGACTTTAACCCAAGGCAAAATAAATCAGCTGAATTATGTCCCCCTGAATGTTTCAAAGTCTTGCATATGCTTGAACATTATGTCGCTGTCAATAATTGCAATCTCCTTGCATATAAAGTAAGCCCTGGAACAATGAGGACATTCTAGAACAGCTAAATAATAGTGATTGGTTCTCACTAATCTCTTGATGGGTTAGTTTTACTTAAATAACAGGTTACATTTTTTTCTCACAACTCTGGGAAGTGTTAAAGCATTTTGTGTTCTTATTTGGGTATGTGAATGTGACTGGCTGCTGGATCTGATGATTAGCTTAAAGCTCCTTCTAAACAAAATCTAAACCTGCTCTGTGATTTCTAAGAAGTTCAAACTCATTGCTAAGTAGTAGAATCCCACTTCCAAGATCCTTTATGTTTTATATGATTTCCCTTTAACTTGATACAATGTGGAGTTAAACACCCAGAAGCTTTGCTTGCATATTGGATCTCCAGTTGAGAAACAGGAGTATTTCAGACTGCTCAGCTCTGAACCCCCTGAGTGATTCTTTCAAACTTAGAGTTTAATGCTCAGATGCCTCTAGTGAGCACGAATGTGAAGCTCGTTAGACACACTCCTGTGTAATTTCTTAACTTTTTTGTTCTCTAGGGGTCCTTTGTGGGATTCCTTCAAATTATGAGGGAGGGGCAACTATATGTCACTTTAAATTACTGTATAAAGACCTCAGAAGTGCATGGGGACTTCCCTTGTATAATTTAGCTATCTTAAATATTTTATAAGGGAATTTAGTGGTATTCCAGAATTGTCCTGAAAGCTACAAACACAAATTATTCATTACTGGTACTTATGAAGACACTTTTTCACGAATCACTTATGAATCTTTGGCTCTTGTTTGAATCCTAGCTGACACCCTCTGAGTTCCTAAAGGAGATGTCCCTCACCACGGAGCAGAGGTTGGCGGATACACACATCATGTGCCGGCCACGGGTCATCGAGCTCTTAGATATGGGAGAGACGACCCATCAGAAGGTAGAGAGCTAAGCACAGAGCAGTCACATCCCAGAACCACCACCACCAAATAAGAGCTGTTTCTGGCTAGCTAGTCCTTCGTGGGTCTGCTTGGACACTCCTTTTGTCTCTGTGATCTCTCCATTTGGGTGTGGTGGAAAATTACAACGAACACACAAAAACAGCATTTAAAATCACTTTTAACCAGTCACGCTTCTTTTTAAGCTACTCTGGATGCGATTGTTGACAGAGTAGGAGTAAATCTAAGAATTATATTCAGTCAAGTCTATGAAGTTATCTTAGGGTAACTTCACTCTCCACTGGGATGGGAAAAGGTGGAATTTTTCATTAAAGTAGGCATTTGTTATCATTTCTGGGCTCATTTCCAAGAACAAATGTATCCTTTTGTCTTAAAAATTGATATTTACTGTTTCTATATTCTAGTGTAAATCATTCATTCCAGCTTTAGGAACATGAAGACCGTGTTTCCTACTTTTTAATATCTTAAGTCTGTGCTTCATTTTATTTTTACATGGGTTATGATATGAATCTCCATCAGTTGGGTCCCCCACCATTCCTCAGAGTTTTAGTTACCTCCCACCTGGGAGTGAGTCTGATACCTCTCTGCTCTCGCTGCCACACCATTGCCTCTGTCTAGGATTGGCATAAAATTTGCAGCTCTGAGCATTGCTAGCTTTAATTATTCATTGTATCTTCTCTTCCCTACAAACACTCTCCGCTTTGGGGGAGAGGGTATACAGCTTTCCCCAAAGCTCAACCTCTCTAACGGCAATTTCCTCTTTTCTGAAAGTGTAACTAAGGCCAGACATTTTGGTGTATAGTATTAGTGTATGTCTTTTAATGAATTATTACTCCAGATATGAAGAATGAGGAAAATGGATACTTTGTTACATCACCTTCCTTCTTCATTTCCCAATTCACTGGATTATTTTTACATTACATTCTGGAATAATTTCTCCTTAGTATGGTGACTGTCAACCTCTGCTAATTTCTTTAAGAGCTTATGGATGTTGGTTTTGTGTTTGATGGTATTTGCATATTGCCTTTATGTTTAAATACAATATTTAACTGCAGACTTGTTAGTATAAAGTTTTGGGGGTCACAAAATATCCCCTTAATGCTTTGCAGGCATTTTCCATCAGTATCTTCTGCTTTAACTGATACTTTGCAGAAGTCTACAACTCAGCTTGACCCTCTTCCCCATAGTACTTTAATGTTTTAGCCTGTATGCTCAGATTGTTTATTCTTATTTGCTGTTCAGTAATTTTATTAAGCTATAACTAAAAATTTCCTGTGCCACTAGTGTGCCTTTATTTTGTTTCTAGAACGTTTTTCTTGAGTTTTCAAGCGTTTTTTCCTTGTCACTTTTTTTATATAGCAAGATCAATTATGAATATGTTGGGCCTTACTTGTTTGCCCTGCTACATCTTACATTCCTTCTGCAGTCCATTCTGAGCTCGGCCAGTTCAGTAGACCTGAGTTATTTCACAGCACTTGACACAGTTTCCTTTTTTTTTTTTTCTTGCATCTGACATATCATACTTCTTTTGTTTTTCTCCTTCTTCACTGGTTGTTTCTTACTTTATTTTTGTCAAATCTTGCTTATTTTTATAATCACTAAGTATCGGAGTTCTCATACTTGTTACTTGGACCTTTTTTTTTCCTCTTCTGAATTCACTCCTTAGGTGAAAGGAGCTTTACCTGTATTTTGACAATTAAAACATTTTTTTTACAGTGTTGGAGCTCAAACCCAGGGTTTATACTTGCTAGGCATATCCTCTAAGCTATATCTTCAGTCTGCCTCAGGCTGCATTTTTGGTGATTACTGTCATATTTACGTCTCCTGCTACAGTCTGTCCCTGAACTCTGGATTGTATATTCATCACAATCTATGGTTGGCAGCTCAAACTTAATGTGTTTAGATCTAATTACTGCTTTGTATTCCATTCCTAGAAGCCTGATCTTTTCTCTCTGGTCCCCTTCAGAGTTATCCCTGATTTTTCTCACATTTTATAATCCAACAGCAAGTGTTATAAATTCTGCCTTCAAAAATATATCTTTGATCAAATCACTTCTTATCACCTTCTCCACAACCATTCTAGTTCAGCTGCTATCATGAAGACTACTGATATAGCCTCCCTGTTTCTATCTCTTCCTTCCATTATTAGTATTCCACAAAGTGGTAAGAATATTTTGAAAAATGTAAGTCAGAGCATGTTGCTTCCATGTTGCTGTCACCTAGTGACTTCCCTTCTTACTATTCTGATAAAAAGATCTAAACTCAATACCCTAGATTCTAGCTCCCCTTTCATCTAGTCCTGCTTCCTTCCCACGCCTCTTCCTTCCCCTGGTGTGTGACTCATTCTCTTCTAACTGTACTTCCCTCTTGCTGCTATTGCCATATCAAAGATAATTCCCATGAATGAAGGGGGGATGGTCGCCTCACAAGATAGATAGCCAAGAGATGGCTTCTTTTCTGAGGAGATGGCACCTAAGCAGAAATGTGAAGCAAGTATGCAAAGATCTGAGAGAAGGACATTCCAGTTAGGCAGACTAGCAAGTGCAAATTCCTAGCAGTGAGTCTGTCACCTGAGGACAGGGGCATTGGTGGCTTTGTTCACTACTCTGTATTCAGGACTAGAGAGGAACTGTCACATATTGGAAACTCAATATTTATTGAATAAAAACATGAATTTTCCTCTCTTCTAACTGTTCACATTTCCCTGCCTTCTTGAATATTTGTTTTGTGCTTTTTGATTTTTTTCTTATTATGTTCTTTGAGTTTATGATAAAATGGCATGGTTATGATTTTCATTGCTTCATGGCAACAAAGAATATCTATTAAATATATATTAGTTGTCACTTTCTTTGTTTTTCTACTTTTTCCTTAAGTATTTTCCCTATATCCTGGCTTGATTTATCATTTCAATTATTATTATTACCCATATTTGAAAGAAGGGAATTCTTTTGGGGCTTGCTATTTTATCAGTTAATGTTGAGTAGTAGCCCAGACCAATGGTTGCCCTGATAAAAAGTCTAGTACCTTCTGGAATTCAAAGTAGAACAGGAAATGAAAGATCTATGTCCAATTTGGTTCTGTTATGCAGTGCGCAAGTGGTGCACACATCCCATTGGTAAACAGTTATTATTGTACTGCTTTGTATGGTCAAAATTCATTTAGATTAACCACATTTTTACCCTGTTACTGTTCTTTCCTTTCTCTGTCTCTGAATATCCAAGATAAAGTCATTTCTCTATAAAGAATTCCCTTTAGTGTCTTCTTTAGAAGTTTCTGACAATAGTTTGCAATTTTTATCTCTCTGAAAATGTCTCTATTTGAGCTTCATTCTTTTTCAATTTTTATTAGCATATATTAATTATACAAAGGGGCTTCATTGTGTATTTCCATACATGCATATGATGAAAATCAGCCTCTCTGTTACTCTTCCTTATCCTTCTTCCTCCCTTTTGAACAATTTTAATGGATTTCTTATTCTATTTCCATACATGCATATAAAATACTTTGATCATTGCCTCTATCACTCTCCCCTTTTGCCCTCCACCCCCCCATTGGTTTCTACTCCACCAAACAGTCCCCCTTTTACAAGCATGTCATTCATTTTTTTTGTTGAGAATCTGCATATGAGAGATAACATGCAATATTTGTCTTTCTCAGTCTGACTTATTTCACTTAACATGATGACCTCCAGTTCCACTTTCCCACAAATGACATAATTTTATTCTTCTTTCTAACTGAATAATGTGCTGTTGTGTATATACCACATTTCCTTTTTCCATTCATCAGTTGAATGATCTGTAGTCAGCAGACTACAGATATTATCATATGGTAATTCTATTTTTAGTTTCTTGATGATAGCCATTCTTACTGGAATGAGAGAGAATCTCAATGTTGTTTTGATTTGCATTTCCTTTATGGTGGGAAGTTAAACATTTTTTCTTTATTAGCCATTTATATTTCTTATGAAAAGTGTCTAATTCATTTGTCTATTAATTGGATTGTTTGTTCTTTTGGTGTTTAATTTTTTGAGCTTTTATGTATTCTGGATATTAATCCTTTATCTGATAGATAGCTGGCAAAGATTTTCTCCCATTCTGTAGATAATCTCTTGATTCTGGTAATTGGTTTTTTTGTTGTTGTTGTTCTTTTTGCTGTGCAGAAGTTTTTTAATTTGATGCAATCCCATTTGTCTTTCTTGCTCCTGTTTTCTAAGCAACTAGAGTCCGGTTCAGAAACTCAATACCTATGCATATGTCTTCAAGTGTTTTCCCTATTTGAACTGCATTCGTGAGGGGAATTTTCCAGGGCAGACAATACTATGTCTGCAGAAGTTTTTTTCAAGATTTGAATGATATTATTACTCTGTATTTTGACTTATATTAATTATGTTGAGAAGTTAACATTTTTTGTTTCTTGGAAGATAAATATTCTCTTTTTTCCTTTTAATGTCTTTTGTACATTTTGGCCTTTGTTTTCAATGGTTTATAATTATGTTCCTAAGTATGTATCTTTTTCAATCCTGCTTACATCTATAAGGCCTCCTGAATCTGTGATTTGACAGTTTCACTAGTTATAGAAAATTCTCTGCTGTTATTTTTATCAGTATTGCTTTTGCCCTATTCATGCCTTCAAGTACTCTAAATACACCTATTTTAGGGCCTTTTGTTATATCATCTATATATCTTGCCTCCCCTTCTGAATTTTCTATCATTTTGATAGGTGTTCTTAGTTTTAAATATTCTTCTCAGTCAGGCATTCTTTCTTCAGTGGTGACCATTCTACTATTAGAGTACATATATTGAATTGTTAATTTCAGTTATCATTTTAAGTTATAAAATTCACATTTGATTCTTTGTTTCCATTTCCAATTTTCTGCCAAAATTCCCAATCTTGTTGTTTTTATTTTCTTGTATAAAGTAAACATGAATCATAACACTGTTTCTACTGACTCTGTTTCTGCTGGTTTTCATTCATGACATCCTACTTCCTCATATTTCTAGCCATTTTGTAATTTTCATTTTTTGTGGTTGAAAAAAATTTTTGATAGCTATAAAATTTCATGATTAGATTAGGCATGATTTGAGCCCCAAATCTATGTTCTCTTCTTCCAGAAAGGACATAGTTGCTATTGCCCAGCCTCTTTAAGTACCAATCCAGAATCACCTCCTTCACTCACAGGCAAGGACTGAGAGTCCATCCTTAATCTATGACACATCCTTTCATGGGTCAATGAGGGTAAAGTTCATGGTCCCTCCCTACCCTTGACAAGCCATGGAATTTCAATCTGTCTCCATAACACTGCTACATGTCCAAACATACACAGATCTCATCTTTTCACTACAGTACAATGGAGGGAAAAGTAGCCCAGATTCCTCTGTTTACTCATCTCTCCATCTCTATGTATCAGTGTGCTCCTGGAGTATGACCAGCAATCGTTCACTGTCTTCTTCACTTCAGTTCCTCCCAGCAGATATTTGCTGATACAGCTTTTCCAATTATTTTCATATTGAAATTGGTTCCACCAGTGTAAAGATCAGTTAGAGATCGAATCAACCTGGGTTGTAACACATTTGTACATGAAAGCAATGCTAGGAATCTCTGTATAGCTGTCCTTATCTCAACTAGCAAAAATGCTATGTCTTTCTTATTATTGCGTATTTCTACTCTTCAACGGAACTGGAGAAAAGTGCAGAACAGGTTCTGCCTGGAAGCGGGGGGAGAGGGTGACGGTGGGGGCAGGAGGGAGAAATGACCCAAACAATGTATGCACATGTGAATAAATGAATAAGAAAATGAAATTGGTTCAACTCAACTCATTCACCATTACTAGAAATGAGTCTTGGGTTAATGATCTTATTAGCCTATTTTCCTTTTTAACTGAGGACTAAAATTTCTACTTTCTTTTGTATTGAACAAATTGTAACAATAACCTCACTAATCATAACTGTTCATTTTTATTGTAGTTACCTCCTTTTGAGTGTTTCCCATGTTCTTAATTTTAATATCTAATTCTATGTAGTATTTTCTTATTTTCCCCAGTCATTTTTTCCACCATGTAACTATTTGACTAATTGACTCTTTCAACTGCAGTTTTCGGGAATTGACCTGGATCAGGCATTATTCCAGCCCTTTCCATCTGAAATTGTATTCCAGAACTATGCTCCCTGTGAAGTCTATGAAGTTCCACTGGTTTTGAGGAACAATGATAAAGTGAGTATGTTTGCTGGGGTAGGTGGACTTTTCTAGGATATGTGAAAAGGGTTGAGCAAACTGGAATCCTGTACTAAATCCTTTAATTTGACATACTTGGGAAAACAGTATGAAAACATGCCCTTTGACCTGTTTGTTTGTTACTATATGTTCAGTTCCAGTATGGTACCTCCAAAAGAGTGAACTCCCAACATGTCCACTAACTTGTTGAATAAGGATTTTGTCTAATGAATGGCATGGAGTTCTCATGCCTGACCAATTAGGCTAGGCTTTTTTTTTTTTTTAAGACAGAACAATTACTATTAATGTTGATGTACTCTGCACTATAGGCACCATTTTTCCAATTCAAGATATAATTGCAAATATTGCATTTATATTTATATTCTGCAGTGTAATTATATTCTATAAATTATACTTCTAAATAAATTCTTTTCTCTTCAAAAACCTGTGAATCACTTTCTGCCCCCTTTTTTTGTCTTCTTCTTTCTACATCAAATAGCCTTCACATTTGTGTGTAGGTAGTTTTGCATGGTTTCTCTCATTGTCTATACCTTCTCTCTTTGTGATTGTAACTAAGGATTTCTTTTTTTTCTGCATCAATAAATTTATTTCAAGTAAGATTTATATGTACACAGCAATTTGTTTTATTTCTACATAAAACCCAGCAATATAGTAGCCACACAACTCAAGATATTTGAAAAACCTCTCAAGTTCAACTAAGAATTTCTTCCCCAGCCTTTTTCTTCAGAGATAAAATAGGGGTTATTTTAAGGAAAGTTATTAAATCCCCGAGGATTTCCTTGGAATATGAAAGAATAATGTGGAAATTCAGCATTAAGCACAGTTAAAAAGTAACTGGGGAGGAAGGCAACTAAGAGATGCTGAACTTCAGGTGAAAAGACAGACTATTTACTGAAATCTAAGAATGTGGACACCAAAAATTTTGAGCTACAGAGAGAGAGAGAGAGAGAGAGAGAGAGAAACCAGTCAAATCTATGCAGGAATCCAAAGCAAACAGGAAGATGTGCAGTTGTATTTGGTATAGTCACTCATTAAAGGAATCAGTGATGCCTTTCAGAGATCAATAGATGATTTAGTGACAGCAGAGTCAGACTCTGGAAAAAATGGTATATTTAGTTCTTTGCTATAATATTGTGAACAAAAGAAGCTCGAGGACTGAGGCTAAAAGGGTAAGCAAATTGATGAAGACTAATCCAAGGTACTTTGGTATGTCCCGAGACAAGAAGAGGAATGCTGCATGGACATTAGGGCTTTTCATGTACTCCCAACCAATTCAGTTTCCACATTGAATTCTCTTTTTCCTTTACTTATTACTCTTTTTAGGCTCTTGTTCAGGTATTATCAGGCTATTAAAGACAGAGAGGAGCTAGTCCAAAGGGTACTTTGGCCAGTCCTCCCCAACCCCAAGGAAAAATAATTATCCATGAATGTATAGAGCAAGTCAAGGTAAGGGGCATTGTGTTAAGTTTTGTCTGCCAAAGGGCACTCGGTCCTCATGGATAATGTGTAGCACTTCTTAGCAAGATGCAGCCAGAATGCTAGCCCTATGGAAAGAGTGTCACCATCCAGGAAAGCCCAGCTACCAACAAGCAGACAGCTCTCTTCAGGCTAGGGAGTCTTATTCTCGAGTTAGTTACACCAGGACCATTGAACTAAGTGGCTTCTCTCCTTCCTGTATTCATGTTCTTGAAGGAAAAACAAGGAGGAACTGGGGACAGAGATATGTACCCCATTCATCCATTATTTGCTTCTACTAAGTGGCTGATTTAAACCTCCTCTCCTTCCTGCAGTTGTGTTCTCAAAGGAACCACAGGGAGGAACCGGGGACACACAGAAATGTGCCCCATTCATCCATTATTTGCTTCCTCACTGGCTTGGAGTGCAAAAATCCACAACCTATTTGGTCATTATTTCTTCACCTCTCACATACACATACTGGGTGAGAGTAAGCCAAGAACACTCTATAAACCACAGCATAATTCTAGAGTCAGACTAATCTGGGTTCAGATTCTAGCTCTGCTGTCTCTAGCTGGAGACTTTTGGCAAGTCACTGCTTCTTCAAGTCATGGAGATAGTACCCATTTCTATAGTGTTTTGAATATTAAATGATAATGAATGTGTTCAGCTGTGTGATTGTTGCATCCATCCTAAGCACTAAACCACTATGATTATTAGTATTAATGTTACTTTTGGTTCCCTACCTGGTTTTTAATAGGCAATTATGTTCAAACTAAATGTCCCCTCCCCTGGAAAGCTTGCCTGGTACTATTTGGTATAACACAAATGCCACTCCACATTCTCATAACCAGCAAAGGTAGATTTGCACACAGCTTTTCCTTTTATCCCTGCACTCTGTGTTAAAGTCTGACTTGGTTCTTTTCTGCATTTCTTTTTCTCTTGCCCATCTAGATTATGGCTATGAGAGGTGGTGGGAGTTCTTCTCTCCTCATCTTTCCTTGAGACTTCAGACCATCCTAATTAGCTTAGTTGTAGTTAACTTTCTTCTGCCCCTTTGAATAATTTAAAAAAACTTTCCCTTTCTTTTGTATCTGTAAACCTCCACTCGTGACTATTCTCCTATTCTTAGGATTGCATTTTCCTCCCTTCCTGCCTGCAACGAGGATTGAACTTAAAGCACCAAGTTTGCTAAGCAAACACTCTACCACTTGAGCCATGCCCCAGCCCTTTTGCTTTTTTTTTTTCAGTTTCTTTTTTTAAGATAGAGTCTTTTGCTTTTGTCTGAGCTGCCCTTGGAGCTCCCCCTATCTCCGCCTCCCAAGTAGCTGGGATCATAAGTGTGCACCACCATGCTGGACATGATTGTGTGTCTTTTATTCCTTAGGCTAGCTGAGATAGACAGCTACATAGCTCTTGGGTGAAGACAAGACTTTAAAAGAATGAAACTGTTTGAAGCTGCCTTGAAACTGGCTGGGGGATATTGCTCTGCTTTGTTCTTCCTGCTTCCTGATGGTATTCACTTGGGATGATCCCATAGGGAAGCAGGGCCTTACCTCCTAGCATTGCTTGATGGAACTGGCCCATTTTCTTCATCTGTAGAATGTGTATCTTGAATCTTAAAGGCTACTGGGAGGAATGGAGTGGCACCTCATCCTCTGTGGATGGTCTGTAGAAAGAGCATAGTAAATATGATATCTTCTCCCAGAGCAGTTTTCAAATGTTGGGAAGTAATTCAGCTCCACTATGTGGGTGAGATTTTGGCTGATTAAACAGTTAGTTGTTTTTTTTAAGATGGCCATATTTAAATAGTAAGTTGAACAAAGACTTGCAATAATAATAAAAACAAGTGATAATAATAATGTTAATAAAATTAAAGTTAGAATGTACTGAGGGCTTACTTTGTGTGAGGCACTGGGATAAAGGTAGACACTGTCATCTCTTTACAACTGAGAAAACAAAAGTTCAGACAAGACCACAGTCACAGGTCTGTGAGTAGTGGATGGAGAACTCAGCTACGTGTAACCCCCAAGCTGTGCTCTTTCTTTTGCTTTTTTGTATGCACAGTGTTCACCATCATGTGTTTTTCCTGCAGATTCCGAGGATGGTGAAAATTGTTGAGGAAAGTTCACCTTACTTTAAAGTAATCAGCCCCAAAGACATTGGCCACAAAGTAGCTCCAGGAGTGCCATCCATATTCCGAATCCTCTTCACACCAGAGGAGAACAAGGTAATAGCGGCACCGGCAAGAAATTGATTCAATATGCATCACTTGCATCACTAGCAGTTTGCAATCCAATTTTAAACATTCACAGAAGTGTTGATAGTGGTATTCTGGTATTAATCATGGTTTTGGTAGCACTGGTGTTGGTACTAGTGGATATTGTTGATGGTGGTAGTGCTGTTTGGTGTTAGTTGATATTGATATTGGTAGAATAGTCGATGGTGGTGTTTTTGTCATTGGTAGCAGTTGTATTAGTCTGATTTTGTTACCATAATTAAATACCAAAGGCCAGGCACTTAGAAAGTAAAAAGGTTTATTTGGGTTACAGTGTGGTTGCTGAAACTCCAAGTGGCATAGTTTTAGCTCTGGCAGGCTCCCTGGTGCTTGATTGAGACACCTCAAGGTAAATGGCATCATGGCGGGAGCCCATGTAAAAAGTAGAGATGCAATGGTGAGACCTGAACCCAGAGCTCAGGGAGAGACACACCATGACCTCCCACTGCACTCTCACTGCCTCCCAACATCACTATACTGAAGACTGAATTCCAGCATATAAACCCTGGGGACAAACCACATCCAAACCATAGCAATAGAGTTAGTGTTTAGTGATGGTGGTGATGGTGAGAGGAATAATGACAGCAGTGACAGAAGAGGGTACTGTACCACTGGGAATGAGCAAAGAATTATCAGACATTGCTGAGGGCTTCCAAGAGCTGTAAGTAGCCATGGTGTAAGAAAGGCTGATCTTGCTAGCCCTGCTCCCCTCATGCCTTAACCCAGCATATTCATATGGAAGTACACAGCTGGAGTGATACCAAAAAGAAAAGGTGCAGTCCAGATGCAACAAGCTGAGACAAAGGATAAACATGATGGCTTCTTGGGACCCTAGTCCCAATCTTTTTTCCCCAGATTCTAACCTGTTTGGGAAAGAGATCCAAGATCCAAATATTGATCACAGTATCAGCACATTCATAGCAAAGAAAATGTACAAGACCTGAGCCAGATGGGGTCTTCTGCTCTCTAATGACTAGTAGATAATTGGCCATTGGTAAAGGCTAACCTACCCTATGGTGCCCCACCACCACCCCCAAAAAAACCAGACAAACCAAAAACACACAAGCAGAGAAGCTAGAGCTGATTGCAGAGACCTGTCTGGTCTGCTTACCTTCATTTGCACACAGGCAGGCACACAAGGCCTGCATTCAAAAAGAGGCAGCCATTTTTCCTCAGCACCACCAACAGCTGCAGGCAATGGAGCCCATTCCTAGACCCTTCTGGGTCACAGAAGCCCTAGTTTTTACTAGGAGGGAAGGAACAGGTAAGTGGGACTGAGGGTGGAGGCTTCCTCTCCAGCCCTTCTCCAAGAGGACAAAATTGTTGGTCATATTTTCTTCTCTATGAGTCTCAGTGAAGGGCATAACTGAAGGAACAAGGATAGAAAACAAGACTTAAGTAGGTGTAACAAAGGGTCAGGCTGTATGTAATGTTAATCGTATGCATGTTTATCTGTCTGGCACCATTGTATTGGACTCAACAGAGCACAGTGAGTCAGACAGAATGAGCTCTGCTTCTCTACCACTACCACTTATGAGCTGTTGTTAATGTCATTAACAGTACTAATATGCTACTAATGACCACAGACTATAGAATTTCATGTGATCAACCAAGCATGTGCTCACTGTAATGAGTGGTTAAAATTCCATTATAATAATTCTGCTCTTATTGTTTTGCCACCATGCAGTGTCACTATTTTTTTCTGGGGTTATGTTTGTGGAGCTGTAGTTTTGTTTGGGGCACTATTGAAATAAAAGAAAAGATAAATAACTCCAGATGTGAGCCTTTTTGTTATATATTGTCGAATTCTTGTTTTCTTCTGGAGGCACTCTACCTGAATGCTATCTGTGAAGACAACAGTGCCTATTTTCATTCTAGTGTTGATTCCTACCCTGTCATTTTTTGTAGGAGACTGATTTATATGTCTTTTGGTATGGATTGAAATACAAGGCATGCTGGATTTGAGGAGCTGGCTTTTCTTGATTTTTTTTTCTGTGCTAGAGAAAATATATCCTCTATTGGATAAGTGGTGTTATACCTGCAGGTAGTCTCGCTGAAAAAGGGACAAATGAAACTTTCTGAGGAGATGGAATGTATGGTATTATGATAGGAGTGTGGATTTCATCATGACTTCACTTGTCAAAACTATACATTTAATATTTGTACTTTCCAATATATATGCAAATTTTACCTAAAAACTATGTAATAACAGAGAAGGGAGCAGATGGAGGTATAGAGGAAGCCCGAATAACAGAATATTAATAATTGTTGAATTGGGTGGTAGGTACACTGGAATTTGCTATATTATTCTGTTTTCTTTGTATATGTTTTAAAATTTCCATAACCAGAAGCTAAAAGAAAAGAGATTTCATTACTGCTTATACTATTTATCTATCCAGCAGTCCAGAAAATAGTAGTTGAAATGTATTTTAGACCTATTGGTATTTACTTTATAAATATGAAATGCCAATATTCCTGCTGAGATTAATATACTGGGCTATATTTTACTGCTGCTTATCTTACTTCAGCTCTCGTATTTCCTCTTACTGTTCCATTTATTCCACATTGCATATCTCTATATATTAACTAAGCTAAATTCTATTATACTGTTGTTTCTTTTAAATATTTGAAAGTTATCATAGGCTATGTGCCTGTATCAGGAGACAGTGAGTATATTGGTTACCTATGAGAAATCTTAACTATCCAGTTTTGGATACATTAAAATTTTGTGAAGCCAGACACAGTGGTGTGCACCTGTAATTGGAAGACTGAGTCAGGAGGATCTGAAGGTTCCAGGCCAGCCTGGGCTACCTAGTAAGACTCTGTCTCAAACAAACAAACAATGATTTTGTATTGGACTTGGACTCCAAGCTGCAATGTAGTTTTACAGAACTCATTTTTCTAAAGTCAGAATTGGTTTCTCCTTTTTTTGTGGCTTAGACTGATGGTATGTGTTCAGTATTTCCACTGGTCCTCACCTTTGAGAAGCTGACCAGATCATGTACAGAAAGACTCACTAGGGGTAGGCATGCTGTCTTCTGTGCTGTTCCAGAACGCAGCCAAATAGAAACTTGAGCCAGATTTATTTTAGGAAAAAGTCAATCATCTCACTAAGTGTCACTGTTTCTTCAGTTGGCCACATGGATAGCTGAAGTGTGTGGGTATTTTCCCCTCCTTATCCCCTGCTGATCTGAGCCCTCTCCATTCTCATTTACCCTCCTCACATCTGGAGGATGAGATATGTAAATTGCAGCATGCCACAGTTAATAAGCCAGTCCCCTTTCAATTGGATTTCCAGCACCCATGCATATTAGCACTTTGAAGATGATAATGCAAGTTACATCTTCCCCTGTCATCTATTGATCTGGCTTCCTGGGGATGGGACTTACTAAGAAAGGCCAAATACCCAGATAACAGGTGCAGCAAATTCACTTTGGCTTTCCTTATCTCTCCTTACACAGACTCTTTTTTTTAAACCATTGGATATGTTATTAATATGACATATATACTTTTACAGTGCATATATATCATGCACTGTGGAAGGATAATAGTCAATGTTATCATAAAGTAACACTATAAACTTCTGGTGCGTGGCATTTTTCTTGACCTCTTAAATTTGAATCTTTAACATTAAAATGAGTATGAAAAATATTAAACTTTTGTCAGAAAGCAAAACAGATACTTCGTTGGATGTAAGAAATCATCTTTTTATAATAGTGTCATTGTATGGAAGTGGCAGCAATGCTTGGAAAAAGTGCAGTGATGTAGCTTTCTTAGTTGTATTTTGAAGAAATATGGACTGTATTGTCAGGATGGTCTTCCTGACTTGTTATGAAATTTTCAAACCCTGTCCTGAGAAGAATAGAAAATGTTAACATATATTATGCATTCTAGGTGTATAATAACCAAAACTCTGTTGCCAGCATTTTGGATTAAAGTATAGATATCATAAAATCTTTCACAATCCATCATTTGTGTTAGCAAAGATAATGGCAGTAATTTTGGGTTTTTCCTGCCTGGAATTAGCCCTCTCCCAATTCCATCTGGGCCCCTCCTATAGCCCCAGGGCCTTGCACAGTACCTGACACAGAGGGAATGTGCAGTTAATATTTGTTGAGTGAGATGAGTAAAGTAAAAGTTAATCTCAAGAAAATGTAAAAAAGTTTCTTCAATTTGAAGAGTGGCCTACAGATGATGAAAGTAGAAGCATATGAAAAGGGCACAAGTAGCGTTTGTGTCCTAAATGTGTTAGAAGTTATTCCTTTCTTTTTATTTCACACCAGGAAAAGGTTCACCCATGCTGTCACAAATGACAGACTTTTTTCCTTCATAAGGTTGCATGGTATTGCATTTGTGTGTGTGTGTGTCACATTTTTTTAATCCATTCATCCGTTGTTGTACTTTGGTTGATTCTATGCCTTAGGTTTTTTTGTTTGTTTGTTTGCTTGCCTGCTTTTTGATGGAACTGGGGTTTGACTCAGGGCTTCACACTTAACCACTTGAGCCATACATTCAGTCCATTTTGCTCTAATTATTTGGAGATGGGGTCTCACAAGCTATTTGCCCATGCTGAACTCAAACTGTGATCCTCCTGATCTCAGCCTCCCAAGTAGTTAGGATTATAGCCATGAACCACTGGTGCCCATCTTACCTTGGTTTTTGTGAATCATGCTTCGATGACTGTTGGAAGGCAGATATCTTTTCAATGTACTGATTTCATTTCCTTTGGATACATACTCAGATGTGTAATTGATGGATATATGATGTTTCAATTTTTTGAGGAACTTCTATCCTGTTTTCTATAATGTCTGTAATCTGCATTCTTACTAACAGTGTACAAGGGAGAACCAAATTTTTGATTGGATTCATTACCTGAAATGAGAGATTATTACATTTTCTAGCCTGCTCTTCAGCTGTGTATGTCTAAGTGTTAGACAATGAGATATAAGAAG